GGAGGCTCACGGGGCTATGGCCCCCTCCAAGCCCCAGAGCTGCTGCTCATCACAGTCCACGGCAACTCTAACCCCTGCTTGCGCCCCCATGCTGGGAAGAGGCTTATGCTCCCTGAACACCAGGACAGGGGCTACTGCCTCATCAGGGTCCTGCCCCCTCGTGGCTCCAGCGGTAGGGTCATGGGCCCGGCCAGAGGCTAGCTGGAGGGCCCCTTAGGCGAGGGAGCAAGGAGGGGGCTTATTCCCCACTCCCTCTGGCATCTGGCAGAGTGAGGAAGACTCTGGTCCACATCCAACCATTCACCCCCTACAAGGAGAATACTTGATGATGCTCCATTGATGGAAAGAGACACAAGATTTTACCACAGTCAACAATCAGCTGGAGTATCGTATCCTGTAATCAGTTAACATGTATGGACTATCTTGGACCAGAAAAATTGTTCCAAACAATCACTGGACTGACATATAATAAAAAACGGACTGTAAAATTGGAAATCTGACACACACGACTTGCAAATAAGCTGTATACAATGTTATGCAGTGTTGCTATTGTCAAGGAGAAAGAGTAAATGAAGGTAGTCATAGTATTGTTTATATTTTGGGAGTGTCCAGAAGTGTCAAACAGGATCAGAGTCCCATTGTGTTACATTATGTGCAAACACAATTACTAATATTATCTGCCCTCCAAAAGGTAAATCAAACTGTATTGTCACAATCCATACACAGAATATGAAGATACTGTTTAAAGTTACCTTTTTCAATAATTATTTATGTTGAAAAGTATTTTTAATTCTACTGTTCAAAAACTGGAAATAAAGTACTCATCTAATGACCCACATCTTCATTTTACAGAAAAATTGGTAAATGATTGCATTTCTCATCTTAGCTAATTGTTTAGTTTCATAAATTATACTGACTTTTTCTGATTCAGGAATCATAAAATCATAACCGAGAACAGGTCAAGATTAATAAATATATCAAGTTATTAAATATAGTATTTAAACATTTTCTCAGCCTTCATAGTTATAGTTTATAGTTTAACAATAGGACATTCTTTATTATTCACTACCATCATTTTCAACTTTTATACACTATAATCAAGGGATGTAATAACTCAATTTTATATTTATCTAAAAGCTGGCAGCCAGTATTCCACCCCGAGGGACCTAATTCTTCATAAAAAGCTCATTTTATGAGGCACTGTAGTACTTTTGGCATTACCAGCACCTCTCACACAAACCACACTGGAAACCATAGCTCATTCTGCCAAATGCCTTTTGTACATATGGTGTTTAACAGTGCTTTGTTTATTTATTAAGCTAGCAATAATAGATTTAAGCAATATATGTAACAAAATTTTAAAACATTATGAAATACATAAAAAAAACATGAATTAAGCTAAAATTAGTCTTTAAACCAACACTCTAAATATAACATTTGTAAAAATAGTTCATCTTTTAGAGTCCCAGGGTTGAATCCTAAACCCACCTCAACGGCAAAGGTTCCACTAAACTAAACAGAGCTGGCTCAGGCTACAACAACCTGAAACAAGCCATATAGTTAAAGATAATCTGTCATAGTTTGCAAGATGCTAAGGACATTCCTGGAGATACCTGGCACTTCTAAAGATTGGTCACTTCTTGAAATGTGAGGTAACCAGTGAGAGACAAGGAGAGAGAGAGAGAGATCCTAAACTGTTTCATACCAAAGCATTAATTTAAAGATTTGGGTGAAATCCTACTGACCATGAACCTGATGTCAAGTTGCTGAAACCAGTGGGAGGCTTTCCATCAATTACAACAGACTTCAGATCCACTGAAATCTCATTAACATGAGTAGTCTTCATTGACTTCAGTGAACAGCCTTATTGAAGTCAATTAAAATATACACATCAGCAAATTAAGAAGCATTAAATTTTTTTTTTTTAATTAGGAGAAAATGTATTTTTTAGGCAAAGGCAGAGTAATATTGTAAAGGTTAGTGCATTATATACAAAACACTGAAGGTACTTACCACTTTCAAAACAAGCATCAAATATAAGATGTCCTTTTTTAGGCTGTCCACAGTAACCAGGTGGAAGAACAGCATATTTGCTTACATTCCCTGCTATGATATCATCACTTCCTATGTCACTACCTGTTACAATAAAAAAAAAAAATGCCAGAATTAAACAGAAAACAAAACTATTAAAACAGATTGAGGGATCCCCCTTGCCCTGTAGCTTTTGCATGTTCAATAATTGTGAATATGCACACACATAATTACATGTGTATCTGTGTTCTCTCTTTTTAAAGCATAGTTCACAAAATATTTGCTACTTAATAATATCATTTATTAAAGTTCCTAATATTAACAGGCCCCACCAGAGAGTAGATTTAAACTTCTGTTCAAAGAAACTAAAAAACTATTAATGCATGCTGCTCCCCAAATTCTCCCCTCTGCCCCCCCACCTCCCTTCTAGCCCATGAAGTCCACACACTGGTAACTGTCAGGTACCCATGTTTCAGTGCAACTTCCAGGCAGCCTCAGAAACCAAGTCCTCCCTGAGCACGTCTACATGAGATGCTGACTGCACAGCAGCTGGATACTACTGCACAATGTCACATAACAAAAACCGTGACATGACACTTCTGCACAGTAGTATTAGGCTAATGCACAAAAGCATCACCACAAAGCCATTTGCCGCTGTTACTGCGCAGTAACTCAGATTACTGCGCATTTATTTAGTACTTGCCGTAGATTCAGACCATAGCTTACTGCACTGTAAGGTGGAAGAATTCACTGTAGAAAAGCTTTGAGTTTCTATGAATACCATTAAAAGAACAACTTTGTGGTACCACTTTTTATGGTGAAATTAATATGTAAAGAGGTGAAACTGCGTGTGGCAGCAACTGGGAAAGGCATAAGAAAAATAACCTACTGAAACAAGCTGGCTTCTAAGCTATGGTGTTGTTTTTTTTATTATAGCTACATGTTCCTGGACAAGTTATGATCATCTATCCCTACGTGTGGCAACGAGTGTAGCAATGAGGCTCCCCAACTAGCCACAGTGCTAGTTTTCCCACTTGCCTTTGGGCACGCCACCTACCTGACTCACGTGCCATGCCTTGTTCTTAATTAATTACGAAGTTAATTAAGGCAGGAGGCTGCCCATTCTTGCCCCAATGCCGGGGGGCGCTATCTGCAGCTCCAATTCTCCCCTACACCGCAGCCCAAGCCTCACAGATGGCATCCACAGATGTTAATCTCACAGCCCCACACTGGGCCCCAGAATCCTCCACTCCAGGCCCCCAACTGGATCCCTCCACTCAAGAAGCTTACTCCGCTTCATTCGAGCTACCTAGCTCCCTGAAACCGTTTCCCCTCTCAGGCATGGTCCCCCCAGGACCTCTGGCCACACAGGCCCTGGCCTCGCCTCCAAAGCCAATCGGGACCCCAGCCCTCAGCTCTGGGCGTCCCTCACGGTGGGCCCCTGGCCCTTTTGACCATTCTGGTCCTGGCCCCAGCACTGACCAGTCGAGGGTACTCTACATCAGACCCCTGAGCCTCTAGCCCCACTCTCTCTCCTGGGTCCACCTTCTGGCCCTACTAAGGGTTAACCCACCCAGTTGTGGGAGCTGGGGTAACTCACACCACGACTGGTGCTCCAGGGTCTCACAGGGACTCTCACTCACCCCCTGGAGCAGCATGTCATTGTGCTGTATATATATATAAGAGAGAGAGAGAGTTTTATATATATATATATATATATATAAAAATGTACTGGGCTCTCAGCACTCTGGTTTCCCACCACCCCTTCACTGGGGTTCCTCATCTCTGCCCCCTACTGCACACCGCCACCTCACTTGGGGCCACAGGGCTTCCCTCCCCGGTGGGCTCAGGTGGCCGTAGCCGTGCCTGGCCCCAACTTCCTTTCCTCAGGGTCTTGCACCCCACAGGACTCAGGTGGCTTCAGTCGTGCCTGACCCCCACTCTCCCTCCTCAGGGTGTTGAATCCCACAGGACTCAGGTGGCCTCAGCCATGCCTGGCCCCCACTCTCCCTCCTCAGGCTGTTGAACCCCACAGGACTCAGGTGGCCTCAGCCATGCCTGGCCCCCACTCTCCCTCCTCAGGGTGTTGAACCCCACAGGGCTCAGGTGGCCGTAGCCACGCCTGGCCCCAACTATCTCCAGTGTTACGTGACCCTCCTGAAGGTGAGGGCTAGGGTTAAGGTGCCCTTACCTGCCTTTCACGGGGGTGATAACTGGCCTGGCATTTCCGGGGGCCTCCCGCCCCCCTGAGCAGCCCACCAGGCCACCCACTCCCAGCAGGGTGCAGTTTTAGATCATGCCCAGGACTATAAGCCTCCAAACCATCCCCTATAGCTCCTCCCTTACCTCCAGGAATGATACATGAAGCCTTGTAGCCAGGCAATGCTGCTGCCTGCCCTGCCAGCAGCGAACTGCCCTGTTTAAATGGGCAGCCAGAGATCTAAAATGGCCACTGCAATCAAGCACCTGCTGGCTGCTTGGCTCCAGTCTTAAAGTGGCAGGCACCAACAGTGCCTTGTCTCACACCTTCCCCCTTAAAATGGTGCCTGGGGAAGGTTTTCCCTGCTACTCCTCCAAACCAGACTCCCCTCAGAGCCTGTGAGAGCCTTCAAATGGTGAGTACCCCCCAAAGGTGCTCTGCCACACACCTCCCCCCTTTGAATGACATTCAGGGGGGCTTCACTTGGCTGCCTTCCCTGCTGGCTTTGTCCCAGCCTACTGCAGCCCCTGCCACGTGGTGAGCATCCCAAAGGTGCTCCGCCATACTACATAAGTTACTTACGTGCATCTATACCTGTGAAGTCATTGATAATCTATCAAAAACCAAAAGCTTCTTGCCTTTCCTTCTCTTCCACCCTCAACCCAGGAGCAGGTAAAGAGTGGCTAGGTTTTCTTGTCACTAGTCTGCCATTTTTTCTATAAGAGATCATCTTCCTTCAATGAGACAACATATTGTGAACTTGTTTGACTTTGAGGTTAACATTATATATCCTTTCTTACATTATTCCTGTCAACCTTAATGGACACTCTGGACCCTTTTAGTATTGGGCTCTCCGGAAGTTAACTGCCAGTGCTCCTAAAGAAATCTGTCATCCAAGCATGTTTGATTTTACATTTTTTAACTACCTGCAGTTCATCTATATTTAAGTTAATTTTACATTAAATATATCAAAAATCTCATTAAGAACTCTATTAGTGATACTGTTAAATGGTCCTTGTTCCTCTACATAATGTTTCCCTAAATTTGTATAGACATTTTGCCAATAGTATTCTACTGTTTCATGCTTAATAGATGGGAGATTTTATGCTTTTTCCTTTTTTTCTACCATTTTTCCCTTTCTTGCTTCTTCTCTTATGCACTCTCCTGTAAATTTTATTTTGCCTTACCCTATTTAAAAACTTGTGAGACTATCTAATTTAGAATGCTTATTTACAACAAAACCTAGTTCTTCAATTTCCTGTCATCTACTGAAATCCCATATGTATTGTATCCCCCAAATCCCTTGTATTTATTCCCTTACTATTTAAATAATGTTATTGCGTATAAAAGGGGAACAAAAGGTTTTATGCTGTTAGATTTATTCATTCCATTTTGAATTATTTTGCATCAACCAAAACATTTTTAAAAGCATATAAAATTATAAAAAATGCTATATGCAGATTTGACTTCTGGGAAAGATGTAACCGAAAATTCTGACTTTTGTGCATTTTAATTCCCACATTCTTCTGCAATTTATTTTCTTGATTTTTGTCCCTTAAAAGGGAAAAAAGAACAGAATACTGAAATAAACCAATGAATATCATGGATGAAGTACTGTTTTTTTGCTTTTTCGCAACAAAATCAATACGGGACAGATAGTATCGATACAATCTCGCTGTAAGCAAATTTTGACGACAGTTTTTCTTTGATGCAAGTATTGAATACATTGGCACAACATTAAATTGTGCTGCTTTAGGCATTCCTATTGCAGCATGCAACATGTTTGCTTCTAATCAAAGCACAACTGGGAATTTTGGTGCTCTGAGCAGGGCAGGTGGTGCCAAGGTGGGAAGGGAGGAGTGGTCGCAACAAAAGCTGGAGTGTTGGTGGGAGGGTGCTGAGTAGGGGAAAGTCTTCCCAGGGACTCAAAAGCTCCCAGCTGCTGCTGCCACAACAGTCTCCCCTCGCATCAGAGGCAGCTACATCAGCTCCCTGCATAGCAGCAGCTGTTCCTGCTGCCAGAGCTGTGCAGGATCCCCCCTGGGCCACCCTTCTGCAACCCACTTGAAATGAGAGCCCAGGGCTAGTGCCCTGCTCGCCCACCCCTAGCCATGCTACCGGTTTCCAAACACAGTGGTGGGAAAACAAAATGGTACTTTTCATCTGCAGGAATAAAAAGAAAGAAAACAAGAAAATGTTTGTTATATCTTCTAATGAAAGAAATAAATCATTTCTATGCTAATATAATGACTAGGTCATTCTCTTCACACCGCCTCAATTTTTTTTAAGCAGCGCTGCTGCTGTTTGGACAACAAATATTTAACAACAGAAAAATTATTTTTTGTGTCAGAGAAAACTAAAAGAAATATGTATATCTTTAAATGCAGACAGCACATGATGAAATAATGTGATGATAATATCTTATTTCACTCTGATAAATAGGCCTACAGAGGCTTCTAGAAATAGACTTTTGGTCTGTACTGATTTTTTGACATTTAAATGGGTTATGGGGATGATGAATGTGACATAAAGCTCAATTTGTTTTATTTTTATATTGAAAACTATTTCACACAAATGTTACAAGCAATTCATATTGGCCCTGAATGATGAAAACAGATTATTAATTAAAACTGACCTTTTCATACAAAAATGTATTCTACCTCTTAAGCCAAAACACCTTAGTCAAGGTAACAAATTATAGCAATGTATTAATGACACCACAACTAAAGGATCTGTCAGGTGTTCCATTATATACCCATATTTTCTAAAGTTTATAAATCCTGGATTAAAAAAATATATCCAGGCTAACCTTTGGCATCTAAGTTCCTACCCTGGAAAGAAATATGGTTCTCTTTGCAGGGTACAGAAGCTAAGGAAGACAAAACACTAGAATTTACATCTATTC